ATGGGGTATATGGGGATCTTGTTGAAATATACCCAAAGCCATATTCTATCTACTTAAGGGGGACAATAAGTAATTGCGGGTCCATAGGCTTTTAGGACTTTAGGGATTTGAGGCGCTTCAGGGTTATAAGGATTGAGAGCTGAGGTGAATCTTCCTCTACTTTAGCAGCAGGTTCTCTCCTCGGGAGAAAGGGAGACGTGTTAAGGGCGGGGAAGGTTTTGTACTTTTCTGACGCTTCTCTTTGAGCATTAGGAGTCCTCAGGCCCGTGGAAGACTCAAAGGTTAGAAGTATGGGCCCCTAATATGGGCCTTTAGGCTTTTTAGGGGGATTCCAGGGACTCTTGAGGGTATGTAATAGTTATATAAGGATCCCAGGGCCCATACTAGGGGCCCATTCTTTCAACCTTAGAGAGACTGTGATGCGGACGATTCTCCAGACCCTCGAGATATATAAGGAACATCAGGGGATTCTGAGGGTCCTTCTTCGGGATTCTATAGGAGTTATTTTGAGAAACATATGATAGCAGCTGTAGAAAACAAGAGACCCTGTTTTTGTCAAGGTGGAGCCAATGCAGGGAGAGGGATTTTGGGCCTGTGTGGATTTAACTCCTACCGGAATTTCAAAGGAACCTTTCAATTCTCTACTGGGCCTTGCGGAATCCACAATTTGGGATTGTGTGAAGAACAACGGACATGACATATCCTTTTCGGGGTGAGGCCCCGGGTCCACTCTTTCCAACTTGCAGGGAGGAACCTTACACTCCGAATCCCAAACTCAAACCCCCACGTAATAGCTCAAATCATAAACGCACTAAGCCCCTAAAATTTCTAAGCCCCTAACCTCCAACTTCAAAGCCCCAGCATGTTTTGCTTCATCATGATGGGACCTCAATTTAAACCCAATGTTGTTGACTCCCACCTTTCAAGCATGTTCCACGACCCTCCTTGTACCCTTAGTTGGGGACACTTGGCCCCTAATCGGGGTTACACGCAGGGCTCTAATACATTGTAGCAGTCAAGGTTGGAAACCGTGAGAGTCTTTAAATTCCCGCTCTTGCTCGCGCAGCGCACACCGGCCAGCCGGAGCGCTGGGGCACGAAGTGAAGGCCCTGAGGCGCGGTTTATAGGGTTTAGCGGATTTTAGGTTTTAGGGTTTAGAGCATTTAGGGTTTAGCATTGAGAGGCTTTTGGGTTTTCGGGGCAATTCGGGGGGTTAGGCGGTCAGGCATGTGGATTTCCTTATCAACGGACCTTGCAGATGAACCAGAACAGCCACTATTTGAATGCACTGAGGCAAACGGGGCTGGAATTGAGCCATTCGCAACAAGTTTTTGTTTAACAGACCCCCAAATACTATAATCCTTATTATTGGGACCCCCAAAATGGTACCCCCAATTTTGGGAAGGAAACCCTAAGTCAGAATCAGTTGCCAAGACCGGGGCTTCAACCAGCCCCCAGCAGCAGGCAATCTTCAGCATGACTTACAGATTGAACCAATGGGGGTGGGCACCCTCTGGGGACCAAAAAGTTCTGGGTAGCTTGTGGTAGGAGCACCTCCCCTACTTCTCAGAGCAGCTATGCTGTTCTAAGCCCGCAGGCTTGTCCAGGCTTATCAAAAAAAGTACCTACATTGAGCCCTGAAGTCCAAAAGTCGTAATGCCGTAATCCCGTCATACTAGGATTCACCCTTCCACCACTCCTGAGAGTAAATATTGCCTATAAGAAGCCTCTTATATTGGGGGACATTGGTCTTAAGATTGGTGTGCGGGGTTTACTTATTTACGGCTATTTGGATCCATGGAAAAACCTGCTTGGAGGCCCATGCGACTTCGTAACTACTTATAATTAGGATTATAACCTTACTTATTGGGTAACCCCATATAAGCCCATTTAGGAGGATTATATAGGTAGGGTTCTAAGCCCAATGCAAAGTGGTTACTAAGTCCCAGGAGCCTCCGGGGCCAGACTCCGCTGTGGAAGCATGGCTCTAAGCGAGTTCTGGAGTGGCTTCAACGGGGATAGTGGGCTTGGGAGCAGAGTTTACAGGTTTGGTTGCCTAGCTTTAGAGTGTAGGGATTCCGTGCTTAGTGCTTTCTGGCATTTGGCGAAGCTGATCCAAAGTTAAAGGAGTAGCACGGGCTGTAATTCGTTTATCCCGCCAAGCATCAGTATGCGCATCAGATGTTGCGAAACAAGGCCATACACGTATGGGATCTTCCCCTCGTTACTTCTCTTTTGGTAAAACTAACCAAGCCTAACTTGGGGGGAACCTAGCAGGTAGCTTGAGGAGTGGCATGAGGGTGGCAGGACCCACCATGCATGTTGAGTCCAGCATGCTGGGCGCCACTCAACTAGAATAATCCCCTCCCCCCGATTACAGACAGGCTTCAGTTCCTTTCTCACCGGGCAATTGACCCTGAAACCCAGATGATGCTCACGTTCGTAAACTACTTAAACCCATTTGAAATCTGGCCTAACCCTAAATCCTAGGCAAAGCAGAGCCTAGACCCTACCTGAACTCCAAATGTATGTAAAATGGTGGCCTTTCAGACTGTTTTGAGGGATTTTGGGCTGCTATTTACCAAGCACTAAACCAGAGCTGCCCTAAATCGAAAGCTGCAACACCTCCTCAACTCTAATCTCGCAGCCCTTACTCTGGGGCCCTATGTTGTAGTTTCCCAAAATAGAGGGCACCAATATAAACACCAAAATATTGTAATCGTTATTATATGGACCCCCAAATGGTACCCCTAATTGTGGGAAACCCCCATGTCTATAAATGATACCTACATTGGGCCCCAATGTTCAGAAATAGTACCTACATTGGATGATTTGGAGCCCTAGGTTTAGTTGGAGGAACCCATCCCTCCAACCCCCCTCGAATCCCCAAGCCTCAAACCGTGAATTCGGGCGCCCCAATGTAGACCCCCAAATTCTACCTCCTACACCCTAAACCCTTAACCCAAAAAACAACCAGATCTTGGAACCCCTGATTTGGAGCCAAGCCCGCTAAGGAGGGGGAAGAAGGGACTCCGCCGAAAGAGGACGCAGAAGCCAAGGAGGAGGTGTGGTTTTGGGGTTTACTTGGAGGGTCATGGGGACTTAGTAGTTAACATTGGAAAAGAAAATGGAAACTACTATATTTTATTTAGGGTTTAGGGATTAATTAGGGTTTAGGGTTTAGGGTCATGGGGACTTAGTAAGTAGGTTAAAATACCTTAGATAAGCCATATAATGACCTCAATTATCCCCATTATACCTACTTACTAAGTCCCCATGACTCTCCAAGTAGGGTTGAGGGATTCAGGTTTTAGGG